AAAGCGCCATTTTCGAGGCCAGGAAGGGGAGAGCAGCCTCACGCTGGGCGCCCCAACCCCTTCCTGAATACGTCATTGGAGCACCTGTCGCTCTGCATGGCCGGCGCTCTGACATCGCACTTCCGCTGCAGCGTCCGCACACGCTGCAGCGGAAGAGGCGCCAAAGGTGCGCCGGAGGCCTTTTGCAGCACACCTTTGGCATCTTGCAGAAGGAGCGCTATTTTAGCTCTCCTTCCTAGGCCTGGGACGCTGCAGCTCGGGGCCAAGGAGTGCAGATACCTCGGCCCCGATCTGCAGCTTCCTGGGGCAGCCACGTGCCGCCCTTCTCCTTCCCCCCATAGTGGGTGAATCAAAATGCAAATCTTTCTGTGTAAAAAACATAAATGTAAATGGACCCTGAACTAATTTTTGTTACTGTTATCAGACTGTATCATAACAAATGAATTTTGAACATTATTGTTAAACTCTGAATGTTGACAAATTATTTTATCTTAATTTATGGTTAATGATTAGGACATGCACAAATTTGTCCTAACTCACCTATTTGACTAGAATACTGAGCTCAACCAAACAGAGCTTGGGGCAAAAGACAAATATTTTGAATAGAAGGATCTATTTTGAGTTGGATTTTTGTTATTGTTTATTTATTTTAACTGCCAAAATGAATAGAACTCACAAGTGCTTCCATGCAAAATTCCACTCCTGGTTACCCCCAGCCTTCCTGATTTTACCACTATAATTGAGTGTGTGCTGTGTTGTGCTGCTGCTGTTCTTATTGCTTCTACTGTTAAACAGTCATTAGTCAGACTCTTCATGGCCAATCTACTACGAATCACTCAGAGACTGACTAGTAATCTCAGATCTATTCCCTCTGCCCCCCACTAGAAGAACCTAGGGTGCAAAGTTGTAAGTGCAAGTTCTCATTATATAGTGATCACATCCCCCCCATGGGTTCTGCACCTCCAGATTCAAGCAACCATAGCTCAAAAATGTTGGGGGGGATTCCAAAAAGCAAACCTTAATCTTGCCTTTTATATGAGGGGCCCATTTTACTACACCATTGTATATAGTGGGACCTGAGCATTTTGGTTTCCATGTGGGGTCCTGGAATTAAACCCCAGTGGATATCAAGGACCCACTGTATATCAGGAAAAAGGTAATGTTAGATGTTCCCTGGAGATCCAGCTGAAAGAAAGTACATGTCTTTTAGAGGTTGGAAGCTAAGATGGTGGCAGAAGTATATATTTTTTGTCTGCATCCACACTACAAAAATAATCCAGGTTGACACCACTTTAGCTGCCATGGCTTAGTACTATGGAATTATGGGAACTGTAGTTTTGTGAGACATTTAGCCTTCTCTGTCAAAGAGCTGTGATGCTACAACATATTACAATTTGCAGGATTCCATAGCATTGAGCCATGGCAGTTAAAGTGGTGTCAAACAACATTATTTCTGCAGAGTGGATGTATACTTTTAGAATCTTTCCTTATTGACTGGATTTCCCCAAACCTGATGTACTTAGATTTCAATTAAGTTAATGCTATTTACATGGGAGTCAGCTTAGTCTATCCTTCTGAAGATGTTACTCCTCAGAAACAACCTTATTATCTTGGAGTTGATTTAAGAGAGCAATGAAAATTTTCACCTGCTGCTCTCATAGGTTGCTCTAAGTAGACCCACAAAGAGTCTTGCAGCTGGGAGATTTGGTGTGACAAACAGGAAGATTGATGGGGAGGGGTGTGAGTATGTATGTGTGTGTGTGTTTATGTGATTATTGTGTAAAAAGAGTGGTATCCAGATTCTGGCAATAAATACTCTGTGTAGAGACCTACCCTCTGCCCTTTCTGTCACTTAGATTTTAAGAAGTGTGAATATAATAAAAGTTAATATTTTGGAGAATAATTCCAGAGTTCTGAATTTTCCTGCGTATATATTATTCCCTGCCTTTCTTGGATTCTGTAACATTTCCAGACTGATTGAGCCCTTCAGATCATTTCCCTAGCCCCTCCCCCTTTTTGGAGGCAGGACCCTTTGCTGAATCTAAATATTAGCTACTTGAAATAGTAAAGATTTTTGTGAGAGGCCAGGTTTGATTTGCCCTTGGAACTGTTTATCGGTCTTTCTGCTGGCTCATGCTGCCTGCAAAACTCTCTTCTGGCTCCACATTTCAAAGGAGATCATGTGCATTTTTGCAACACTTGGATTTCACCTTTTGCTATCACCTTGAACCCACTTGGTCTGTTCTTTTTGTGGGCTTTTTGTAATGACCTCTAGGGCTATGCCAGAGATGGATTTTCCTCTTCAAAAATGTTGTGGTTTGTTGGGGTGGTCCTATGGTTTAAGATGCAAATGTCCTCTCTTTTCTTTCTTTCTTTTTTAAAAAAGTTATAGAGCAGAAGTGTTGTTTTGGAATAGCACTATTACCTTAAACTTTTATTTTAATGAGGAAAAAGAGAAGAGAATTAATTGTTCCAATATGTCTCAGAAGGAAAAAGAAACCCACTCAAGGGCTGGAATAAAATGTTGCAGCTGGTGCCAGGAAGTGCTAGAAAACAGTCTGGAACAACAAAAACATCATTTGAGTATTTAGAGAGACAGAGAGAGAAAAAAACTGCAGCCCCAAATACTGCAACCTCCTGATATATTTGTCCTGTCTGAATCATAGAATCCTAGCATTTGAAGTGTTAGCCAAAGTGCATTTTTCTGAATTTTGGTGTGTGTATAAATTCCACATAAGCCCAGATGTACCTTGCAGTGGACCCCAAGTGATGACAGGCAGGTTGTACCAAGGTCACTTGAAAGACCATCCCAAAGAAAGGCATATAGTGTGGGAGTTGCAAATGAACCATCATCACCTCCATAATCAGAAGAATGGGCAATAATTGCCTTGATGTCTCATCTGATGGGCTAGCTAATGACTTAATCCTTCTCCCATTCACCTTGAATATCACCAGACTGGATTACCCCACCCATACAATCTCACACCTTTGACCTGTCGCTAGTTTTAGCCCTTAAAAAACCCTGGATTTCCCCCCTTAGTGTCGCTAATTTGGAGTTCATGGGGACACTATGGGCCTCGGCAGACGGCTTATTGAGCCGTCTCCAAGGCCAGGAAGAGGAGGAGCAGCCGCACGCGTGGCGCTCCTTCCTCTCCCTGAGGTCGTCCTCGGAGCCGCCGGCCCTCCACATGGCCGGCGCTCCGGTGACAACCTCCCGCTGCAGCGATCGGACGCGCTGTGGCGGAAAAGACAGGGAAAGTGCGCCCGACACTTTTAGGGTGCACTTTCCCTGTCTTGAGGAAGGAGCACTGATTTAGCGCTCCTTCCAGGGACGCCGCAGGTGTGCCGCGGTGCGGCTGCCATGGCCCCGCGGCACTCCGGACCAGGGCGTCCTGGACGCCCTGGTCTGCATCCCCCCTCAGTCACAGTAATCTCTAGTCTAGTTGCTGGCACTTCCATTCAAACCAATGCTCTCAGAATGGTTGTGTCCCATGCCACTTCATCCAATTGGATCCTGGAGAAAGCCTCATCTGTAGTAAGTATCACCCATAGTTTTGCCTCAAAATCTTTTCCAGGCTAACCTCTGATTTCCTGAGCCTTGAATGAGTGAGTGTATGTGTTTGATTTGCTGTGTGATTTTCCCCCCTTTAATAAGTAATACTTTAATTGGAAAATTCTGTCTCTGCATCAATTCTTAGATCCACCAGCCTCTTGATATACACATGGGAGATGGTCTCACAGGGTCCTTGTAGCTGACCCCCTCTCAGTTTGAGATAAATAAAATTCCCCATACTAGACTTTTGGATACAGAAGGGACCACAAAGGCCAACTAGGCCAACCCTCTACCATGCAGGAGTACTCAACTAAAGCACTTCAAAGAGATGGCTGTCTAACTGTTTTCTAAAGACCTCCAAAGGAAAACAGTAGTGCATTCCACTCTCAAACAGTTCTTAAAGTAAAGATCTTCCTAATGTTTAGGTGGAATCTCTTCTTTTGAAATTTGAATCAATTGCTCTAATTGCTTTTACCTCCTCACATAGAAAATGGAACCACTATGGTATGGATAGAAACCTTCAAAGCTAGTATAACTCCATTGATCTGGAGTTGTTTTGTTCCAAATTGATAGCTGCTCTCCAGGGTTGTGGGTGAGAGGCCCCTCTCCCCTCCTGAGATCCCTTCACATGGCTCTAATCTCCACTGCAGAAATAATACAGTTTGATACCACTTTATCTCCCATGACTCAATGCTATGGAATTCTGGGATTTGTAGTTTTGTGAGATATTTAGCCTTCTCTGTCAGAGAGCTCTGGTGTCACAATACACTACAAATCCCAGGATTCCATAGGCTGCAGCCATGACAAACTGCATTATTTTTGTAGTGTATTGTTTGGACAATGGAGGAGATGCCAAGATGGGACTCAACTCCTGAGACCTTCTGCCTTTACAGTAGAGCTGGCAAAATTCTCTTTTGGTGGGTGGGATGACAAAACCTGTAATCAACCCCATAGAACCCAAGGAAGAAGTACATTGGTGCCTAATAAGGAGCCAATTATAAACAAACCCCACCAAATCAATCACAGTGCTTTAAGATGTCTACAAATGTAAATCAGGTTTGATATCAAAGAGCAACTATACAGCATACTGCACTTAATCCAACCTGAATTCACCCTTCCTACATTCCCTGGATCAAGAGAGGTGCCAGCGTGGGTTTTGCTGGTACATCTTTTCCACATATATGTGCTGCTCAACAGAATGCACCCTTGGGGCCCTTGGTCAAACCCAAGATCTCTTGGTCAAAATATAAAATAGATGCAGAGACATAATCTCATGTGTGCTACAGGAAATTTTATCCTTTCATTCTCTCCAAAATCCTCATACAAAAATCTTATTACCCTCTCCTAGAGTTTTCTTAGCAGGATTTCTTCTTCAGTGAAGGTTTACCATTGCCTTCCTCTGGGCCTAAGACAGTGTGATGTGCCCAAGTCACCCAGCAGATTTCCATGGCTGAATGGGATTTGAACCCTGGTCTTCTGGATTTCCAGTCCAACACTCAGACCACTACACCATGCTGGCTCATTTAGGAGGCTTGTCATTTCCTTCCTCTTTATATTTGAAAGAGTGTGACTTGCCAAAGTCATCCACTGGGTTTCTATGATTGAGCAGGGATTTGAACTCAGATCTCCCAGAATTCTAGTCCAAGGAGATTATCCCACCACTCAAATAACCCAGTTTACCTCTTCCTAATTGAAGTCTAATTCAGGAGGCAGCTGGATCCTATCACAAGGATTTTGCCATCAAAGCAATTGGGTGTGTCCAGCCTGGCTGCAGCCCAGGTCCCTGGCGTACTTCAGCAGCCATTTTTTCAGTTCGGAAAGCTCCCATTTTCAAAATAAGGCTGCCAAAGTGTGATGGGGACCCAGGCTGCAACTGGGCTGGACTCGGCTGGCATCTTCAGTGGCAAAATTCTTGTGATAGGACCCGACTGCCTCCCGAATTAGACTTCAGTTTGGAAGAGGTAAACTGGATTATTTCAGTGGTGGGATAATCTCCCAACATTCAGACCAATCAACTACACTGGGGAGTTTATTGCTTGGCTTTTTAAATCGGTTTACCTCTATCCAGCTTAATCTTAATTTGGGTGGCATCCTGATCTTATCAGACTTTTTTGCTGCTGAATTTGCCACCTGAATACAGCCCGCTTCCAGAGCCACTCACAACCATTTTCTTAAACCAGAAAACTCCCAGATCTGAAAACAGTCTCAAGGAGTGTTCCTAGAAGTGGGAAGTTCCTGGCTCTGTAATTCAAGATGAAAAGGGCATAATAACCCTTATCTCTGGTCATAGGCTCTCCTCCAGCTCTCTCTGAATTGAACTAGTAAGCATAGCCCCTTCCTTAGGGTTTCTCCATCCCCTGGGCCAAAGCAACAATTCATAGTGGCTGTGGATGCACAGTATCTTAAGAAACAGGTTGTCTGTGACTTGTGTTGCTAGGTTTTCAAAATAACAATAAGGAACCATTGAAATTCATGATTATTCACAAGTTAGTATTCTGTCCAAATATCAAATGGATGCATTAATTTTAATTGGCCTGGCCATGTATTTCTCTGCAAAATTAACAGATTGTTCACATCCAAATATCACATGATGAACACATATATCTTTATGAAGGACCCACACCCAAAAATACAGGAATGTTTTTGGCGTCTATATAAAAGGGAAAGCTGGCCAAGCTTCCAGTCTGGGACATCTCTCATCATAAGGGGTGTCTATAAGCCCTGTAAAGAACCACCTTTCTGGCCTCTCAAATAAGGGACACTCCTTATAATAAGGGGCACTCATGAGTTGGCATTAAGAGGTGTGGAGGGTAATGCCAACAGGAAGAGGCCCACTGAAATGTCATGGGGGAAGCCCCAAGGGCTGAAGAATTCTTCTGACTTATGGCTGCACAAAGGTTATATCAAGATATTTGTGATGCGTAATGGAGTCCTGCCAAGGTACTTCACATGCTTCTCCAGCCAGTACTGGCTGGTCCAGTTACTTGGCTGCAGCATCTCCTTGACTTTGATTACAATATGGAGGAGACTGCTGTGCAGGCCTTGTTCTATTTTTCATGAATTCCTTTTCACCCTGGTCTGGAGTTCAGTGTTCGCTTTAATGTGGAAACTCTTGCAAGGTTTTCCTGAATGGAGAAAGTTGTGTCAGTGGTGCCAATGAAACTACAGATGCCTTTTGGCCTTCCCTGAAGTTTTGCTCTTGCTTTGGCCCATCAGCAAATGGGTGAGTACCTTCACCTCTATAAGTGGCCCTGTGACCCTGCATGTAGAGAGGTTGCAGTTGCTGCAAACGTTGAAACTTCCGCATTTTCTGGCGTATAAGACGACCCGCGTATAAGATGACCCCCCCCCCACTTTAGCCACAGCTTTTGCAGGTTAAAAGGTCGTCTTATACGCCGGAAAATACGCTAACTGAAAGAAAAAAGTTAGCAGCATGAGCATTTGTAAAGTCTACTTCCTCAGATGCATCCCTGTGGCTGCAGACCATGGACCAATAATCTCTTTCTGTTCTGTTAATATTACTGTTACTGCTATTTTTATATTTAGTTTCATAGCTTACCAGGTATCACCAACTGGCACTTTGGACCATCAGTGATTTGGATTCTGTCAGGGAATCAAGGAATCTACGGGTCTCATCAGATAATGTGGACTGTTCCAAGTAATGCCCCTTTTTGCCAATGTACTATTGTGATCCTTTCTGTAGCTGACTTATTCACCTGTTTTGTTCATCTCTTTTAGAATTGCTCCCAGAACTCCTCTCACTACTGGAACCTCAGTTGTTTTCTTTTCTCACAGGCCCCATGTCTCTATTTGTCATTCTTAAGATTTCCTCATCTTCTCCCTCTGTTAGTCTTTGGATTTTTTTCCCTTTTTTATTAAGTTTTATTGTTAAAAACCATAATATACATAATATAGAGTGGAGTGGCTCTGATTTATAAA